AAGTTTGACTTTTATGCTGTTCCTGTCTAGTTTTTCAGTCCACCTGTATTAAATGTAAAATATCCTGAAAAGCGATCTGGTGTCGTTGGTGGCTCCAAATTGATGAAACGTGTTCTGCATGCCGTTTGTTTTCGTGGCTCCTCAGGGCGCTGCTGTACGGGGGCATGAAGGAGTAAATATGGGCTTCTAGACAGAGTATGTAGTAACAAATTGACCCTCTAGTTGGCAGTGTCACTTTTGATGGGAGATGAGCATAGACTGTAGGCAAATAAGAAAAAGGTAACGGTTCTATGAGAGAACATGTCGCCGGTGAGACGCAAGTCCAGGAAGAACGGAATATGGTAGAAGCAAATTTTTTTTCCTGGTGAAAGAAGAGAGTCTACTCTTTCTTTTGGTGTGTTCGGTGTTTACATAGTCATAGCACAAACTATTCTGTGGCTCTTGAAAAATCAGTCAAAATGCTCAAAAAACTCTGGCAGTCAATGAGTTAAATGTAAAATATCCTGTATGACACATTCTCAAAAGCGATCTGGTGTAGTTGGTCCTTCCTTCTGTATAAACCAGAAAAGATGCATTGGTTTCGTCCAATATGTGCAAATAGAATTACTAGTACAGTAAATAAGGAAAAATACAAAAGTTCGTACAATCGACCTGTACAAGACCTCAGAAAGAACAATCAGGACCACTTGGAAAACCTGAAGTTTGACTTTTATGCTGTTCCTGTCTAGTTTTTCAGTCCACCTGTGTTAAATGTAAAATATCCTGAAAAGCGATCTGGTGTCGTTGGTGGCTCCAAATTGATGAAACGTGTTCTGAAGGTTTTTCATTTTGGTGGCTCCTCAGGGCTCTTCTGTACGGGGGCATGAAGGAGTCTCAGCCCCAGGCGGAGGTGAGTCTGGAGGAGACGCGGGCCGAGGCCTTCTCCATGCTGCTCAACTACCTGTACACGGGCCGGGCCAGCCTGAGCTCGGCCCGGGAGGAGGTGCTGCTGGACTTCCTGGGCCTGGCCCACCGCTACGGCCTGCAGCCCCTGGAGGACTCCACCTCCGAGTTCCTGCGCACCGTGCTGCACACCAACAACGTGTGCCTGGTGTTCGACGTGGCCAGCCTGTACTCGCTGAGCGCGCTGAGCGCCGCCTGCTGCGCCTACATGGACCGCCACGCCCCCGAGGTGCTCAGCTCCGAGGGCTTCCTCACGCTGTCCAAGGTAGGGAAACAATTCATTTTTGGATTCTGTTAAAGTTCATGTTGTTCCTGTGTAGGGATTAGGGTTGTCACGATACTAAAATTTTCAACTGGATACAGATACTCAGGAAAATACTCGGTCCTCGATACCATTTTCCATACCACAAGGATAAAAAGAAAGACCCCAAAATTTAACTGAATTTTGACAGGTTAGTGTCTTTCATTTGAAACTGACCTGTTACTGATGTTATCGTGGCTGGTGGCCTGAATTAATTACCCTAATCTTAACTCTAACCCTGCCCCTGACCCTGACCCTTACCCTCCACCCTTCATAATTGTGAGAAACAATTTTGGGGTTAAACTTGTTTGGACTTACTGTACAAACCTATTTAACATCCACTATTTTAACATAATATTATGGATAGCGTTTAATTAAGTGTTTGAAAGATTAATTTCACTATTTTTAATGTCTATATTGCCATGAGGCATTACTATTTTCTTGCCTGGGATCTCCCTTTTGGTGACGTAATCAAAATGGCCGATTTGGATGTGGGCTGAGACGGATATGTACTTGATTAATGGTAGCATGTTATTATTAGCCATTAGTCGCAGCTAGCAAGGCTAACGTCACGTTAATGATCATAAACAACGTAAATAAATACATGAATAAATCTGAGAGAAGGGGGCAGCGACGGCAGGGTTGTCAAAAGTATCGATACTTTTTTAAGTATCGATACTTTTGACAACCCTAGTAGGGATGGGTCCAAGGTAGGACGGGAGAAACCGTCTGTTCCCGGTTCCCCAACCGGCTCTTTAGTTATGGGGCCTTCAAGGTTTTACAGGCCAAAGACCCCCAAACTGATGGCAAGACGGACACCCTAGTTATATATATTGTATGAAATTATGTTCTATCAAACTGGTCCTGTAGGGTGTAAATGTACCTTGTTATTGGGCATTCAATACTAAGATAATATAGAGGTTATAGAGGTTTATATATTGTAGGGTTGTCAAAAGTATCGATACTCAAAAAAGTATCGATACTAAAACGTTGTATCCGGATACAATACTCATTTTCAAAAGTATCAATACCACCCTCCCCAGCCCCCTTCTCTCTGATTTATTTATTTATTTACGTTGTTTATGATCCTTAACATGACGTTAGCCTTGAATTGCTAGCTGCGGCTAATGGCTAATAACAACACGCCAACATTAATGCGGGCCACCGGCCACGAAACCAAGGACACTCCATATTTGAACCACTAACCTCCAGGACCCCCTAGGGGTCCCGTTAGACCTGTGGCTTTTATCTGAAGTGTATCTCTTGGTGTGTTTGTGTCTAGACGGCGCTGCTGACCGTGGTCCGGCGGGATTCCTTCGCCGCCACTGAGAAGGAGATCTTCCAGGCGCTGAGCCGCTGGTGCCGGCAGCGGGAGGACGGCGCCGACACCGCGGAGGTGATGGCGGCCGTGCGGCTGCCGCTCATGACTCTCACCGAGATGCTGAACGTGGTTCGGCCGTCGGGGCTCCTCAGCCCGGACGACCTGCTGGACGCCATCAAGACCCGCTCCGAGAGCCGAAACATGGACCTGAACTACCGCGGGATGCTCAGTCAGTCCCCCCTCCCGTCATATTAGGAGTCATATTATACCCTATTTCAACAAGTTAAGCTAGTTCCCTGGGGTCCTAATGTAATGTCTGTGACAAGTCAGTGCCCCCTCCCGTCTCCGTTCGGTTTCCGCCGTTTAAAGGAGTCATATTATATATAGCAACAGACCGTGTTTATAATTTGTTTTCCATTTCATTCAACACAGTTCATTACTAATTAATAGTCGCATTTTTTTCCCTTCTTAGTATGAACGTCCAAAATTGCCCCAAATTCAATTAAAGGAGACATATTATACCCTATTTCAACAAGTTAAGCTAGTTCCCTGGTGTCCTAATGTAATGTCTGTGACAAGCTTTGGTCAGAATCCCATAAGGATGAAGCCCAATAGCAGTTCAATCACCCTGCTTTTTCCACGTCGCATTTTAACTCGTTGACTGCCAGCCATTTTCAGAACAGAGAGTCCCATACTGCCAGAGATTTTTGAGCATATTGACTGATTTTTCAAGAGCCACAGAATAGTTTGTGCTATGACTATGTAAACACCGAACACACCAAAAGAAAGAGTAGACTCTCTTCTTTCATCAGGACAAAAAAATTTGTTTCTACCTTATTCCGTTCTTCCTGGACTTGCGTCTCACCGGCGACATGTTCTCTCATAGCGAACCGTTAGCTTTTTCTTATTTGCCTACAGTCTATGCTCATCTCCCATCAAAAGTGGCACTGCCCCCTAGAGGGTCAATTTGTTACTACATACTCTGTCTAGAAGCCTGATATTTACGGACTAGCTTTAGCAGATCGTCCCCCAAGCCACTCTCGTTGAAAAACATAAAAGACGTCTATAGACGTCTTTGGCAGCCAATGAGTTAAAAACCTGTTTTTTTTTGCATAACACGTCCCCTTTAATCGGCCCGTGTCCGTGCTTGGGTTCCAGTCCCGGAGGAGAACATCGCCACCATGAAGCACGGCGCCCAGGTGGTGAAGGGCGAGCTGAAGTCGGCGCTGCTGGACGGGGACACGCAGAACTACGACCTGGACCACGGCTTCTCCCGGCACCCCATCGAGGAGGACGGCCGCGCCGGGCTGGAGGTCAAACTGGGCCAGCCCTCCATCATCAACCACGTCCGCCTGCTGCTCTGGGACCGGGACAGCCGGTAGGACCGCCTCAGGCCCAAGTCTTTTTTTTTCCTTTTTGTCTCATTCTGGCGGCACGTCGGTGTGGTGGTTAGCACTAGGGTTGTCACGATACTAAAATTTTCAACTCGATACCGATACTCAGGAAAATATTCTATACCATTTTCGATACCACAAGGATAAAAACAAAGACCCCAAAATGTAACTGAATTTTGACAGGTTAGTGTCTTTGGTTTCAAACTGACCTTTTACTGATGTTATGGTGGCCCACATTAATGACCCTAACTCTAACCCTAACCCTAACCCTGACCCCCAACAGCCTTAATGATTGTGAGAAATAAATATTTTTTGGTTAAACTTGTTTGGACTTATTGTACAAACCTATTTAACATTACACTATTTTAACATAATATTATGGATAGAGTTTAATTAAGTGTTCGAAAGATTAATTTCACCATTTTTAAATTAATGTCTATATTGCCATGATGCATTACTATTTTCTTGCCTGGGGCGGGCGGGCGGTGGTATCGATACTTTTGAAAATGAGTATCGTATCCGGATACAACATTTTGACAACCCTAGTTAGCACTGTCGCCTCCCGCCAAGAGGGTTCTGGGTTGGAGTCCCGGGGGAACCAGGACCAGAGGGTTCTGGGTTCGAATCCCGGGGGAACCAGGACCTTTCTGGGTGGAGTCTGCATGTTCTCCTGTGTCTGTGGGTTCTCTCCGGGTTCTCCGGCTTCCTCCCACAGTCCAAAAACCTGCATGTTAGGCTGATTGGAGATTGGGGAAATTGCCCTTAGGAGTGCATGTGAGTGTGAGTGGTTGTTGGTCCTTGTGTGTCTCTGTGTGACCCTGTGATGGACTGGTGGACTGTCCAGGGTGTACCCTGCCTCTCGCCCGTTGACCACTGGGATAGGCTCCAGTTCCCCCCGCGACCCCAACAGGGAACAAGCGGTATTGATAATGGATGGATGGATGGATGGATGGATGGATGGATGGATGGATGGATG